TAGGAGTTTAGGGTCTAAGGTTGTTTGTATCTGCAGGGGTGTATAAGGGCGCTTTTCGTCTGGAAGGGTTTGCAACGGCATGTGTAGCTGAAGGGTTTACGAGGGCGTCGTTATCAGGAGGGGTTTATCAGGGCGATGGTTAAAACATAGAAGAATTTTGCCACATAGGTATTCCGTGCTTTCATGGTTTTGCTAGACTTCTACCAGGGTCTTTTGAGGGTTCTACAAAGGGTTCGGATAAGGTATGGGCTTGTGGGCTTCCTTTACAAAGGGGTTTATCAGTGCAGAGGCTTTCGGATTTAAGCTTTCGATGAGTTTGAGCTTTGTAAGGCCTTGGATAGAGGTTCACCAGAGTATCGGGATTTCTAGATGACTGTGATATTAAGGAAACCGCAGAAAAACTCCTGCCTCAGCTGCAGGTGCCGCAGCTGCTGTCTGCGGCTGAGCGGTGCCTGTGACCTGCTGGCCCACCATTGCCTGGGCTTTGAAGTAACCAGGGAGAAAAAAGTACGGTTCCTTTAAGCCGAGTTGCGGGTTGCGCTGCAGATGCTGGCTGCGCAGCCATCGCCGGTTGCGCTGCTGGTGCCGGCGCCGCCTTTGGTGGGTGGCGCGGAGGCACGGTCTGCGGCTGCCTCGGCGACAGCACAGGCCAATGCCAATGCGAGTGGCAACGCGTGCACTACACAGCGGAGGCTTGGTGCAAGTTGTTGATCAGCTTCGGAGAAGCACGAGCTAAAGTGCTGAAATACGACTGCAGGTGGGGGTACGCGACAGCTGAGGCCAAGGCTTGGGAATGCCAATTCCTCCTGTTGGAGTGGCCACAGGCCTCGTCTGTGACATGTCGTTGTATCACTGTATAGTTGTAGAGTTACTTGCATCTGCTTACCTCTCACACCGCTTCCAAAGGTGTGCCTCTGTCAGAACAGTGTTACCTAGCCAAAGACGCAAAAACAAAAGCAATCGATTTGTCATTCACCTCTCCCCCCTAGAGAGTACCAGCTACAAAACATCCGCACTTGAGCAATTCCGTGCATTCTCGAGACCTAGAAGCAAGCCCAGTCATTTTGTCATCAAGTAACGGGTTACTGTTCCTAGAACCCCACTTACATTTATAGCAACATTACCCGCACCCCGCTAATCTACTCTGTACCTAGGCTTCTATATTGTATTCCCACCAGTCCAGCACGGCTCAGGGCTTGGCACTGCGGCACCCTGGACAAGCCTCCGCAGCTGTTTGTTTTGCACTGAAGGAGCGAATTTCCTGCCAACCCATCCTACAACCTACACCCTAAACCTTACAGCCCTA